ATTTTGGAAAAAAATAGACTGACCTAGACTCAGCTTAATTCAACACGTAAGTTATTACCTAAATATATGTAAATATATATGTATATATGTATACATGTAAACATCCATGCAGAAATAATAGAGTTATCTATTAGATGATAACAGATAATAGCAATAGTAGTTTATTAGTAATACTATTATATTATAATAATACTATTATATCATTATAATTATATTATACTACTGTATAATAAATTATATTAATAATAGATAATAGTATTATGGCTTTTTCAGTCCTTGTCTTTTAGCTGTACATACTGAGGTTCTTATGGAAAAATACTATTTGCTTAAAACAATCTATTAAAAAATAATAGCCCCATGATGATGACTCATGCCTGTAATCCAAGCTACTCCAGAAGCTGAGATTTGAGGATCGAGGTTTGAAGCCAGTGCTAGCAGGAAAGTCCATGAGACTCTTATCTCCAATTAACCACCAGAAAACTAGAAGTAGAGCTATGGCTCAAAGTTGTAGAGCACTAGCCTTGAGCAGGAAAGTTCAGGGATAGCACCTAGGCCCTGAGTTCAGGCTTCACGAACAACAGCAACAACAACAACAATTATTATTGTTATTATTACTGAGGAATTATGTATAGGATTGCACAGAACCCAAGAGGCTGAGGCAGAGGATTTTGAGTTTGAGGTCAGCCTGGGCTACATAGTGAGTGTCATCCTCATCATCCTCATCCTCATCATCTATTGAAGGAAGATATAGAGACACCCTTAAATTAAAAGGTCATGAGTTAGTGAAACCCCTTTGAACAATTAACATGCACTTTAATAACAAAGAATATTAGGAATTTGAAAAATGTCTTGTCTGGGGCGTAGGTACTATTGGAGGGGGTGGGTGAGGGCCAGTATAGTTGAAAGACTGCAGGTACTTGTGCAAAAACGGAGCAAAGACATTTGAGACAGGTTTGGGAAGGGAAAAGGAAGACAGAAGGGAAAGTGATGGAGGAGATGATTATGATCAAAATGCATGGTAGTGAGGCGCTGGTGGATCACACCTGTAACCTTAGCTACTTAGGAGACTAAGATCTGAGAATCGAGGTTCAAAGCCAGCCCAAGCAAGAAGAGTCTATACGATTCCTATCCCCATTAAACCACCCAAAGCTCAAGTGGTAGAATGCCAACCTTAAGCAAAAAAAAACTAAGGGACAGTGACCAGACTCTGCTTCCAAATCCCAATATGGTACCAACAAAAAAAAAAATAAAGCATTGTGTACATAAATGGATATGTTAAAAATGAATCCCGCTATACAACTAATAGATGCTAATAAAAATAGTTTAAACCATGAAAAAAGTTGAGAACAATTTTTTAAAATGTATGAGTTGATCATTGTTAAAGTCGAGTCACAAGTAAACAGTCATGTCATTCTGCATATATTTAAATTCATACATTGTATATACAAGTGTATAAGTGTACATATAAATGTACACACTTAAAAGTTTCCATACAAAAACAAACGGGTGTACATGCATACTCAGGTAAATATGTTTGGAGCAAATGCCCTTGTTTGGCAGAGTGTGTAGAAATGAGTCCCAAGAAACCCTGTGGACATGCAAATGCAAGGATGCTCAAGTCTCTGACATTTGCACACTCGTCTCTGTGGACTTTCTGTCACCTCTAGATTAATTACCTGAAAATCACAGTCTGTGTCACCACAAACACCTGTCACTTAACCATGAAGGCAGGTTCTAAGTAATACGCCATTAGACAGTTTTATCGTCATGAGATCATAAGATGGACTTGCATAAACTCAAACACTACTGAGTCAGCAGGTAAGGGAATCACGGGCTCATGAAGGCTCTGTGCAGTCTGTTGGTTAGCCTAAAAATAAAAGCTCAGGGGTCATTATGTCGTGCATGACGGTAGTTGTCATACAGTGTTTTTTTGTTTTGTTTTGTTTTATTGTAAAAATACTGTACAGAGGGGTTATATTTACATGGGCAAGATAATGAGTACATTTCTTATCAAGCATTGTAGCCTCCTCCTTTATTTCCCCTTCCCACCCCATCCTCCCCCCAGTCCCCCACCCAACCCTCCCCCCCCCACCAAAGTTGTAAAGTTCGTTTTCGACATAATGACTTGTACATCTCATTGTTGCAATGGGTCCACCTGTATCCCTATTTAAACGATTTGTTTTTTCCCTTCCCCTCCACAAATTATGCCAACATCAAATACAGTGAAAGCAGGGGTTATTCTGTTGGGGAGGGACATACAAAGCAACAAAGAAATAATCTTATAAATGTGTTAGAAACAATCACATGAAAGAAAAAAAAAACATTTGAATACATATCTTAGGGTTTATTTCTCTAACATCAACTTATGTGATCTTTTCTGCTTGACTCAGACATATACTAGTTATTGCAAATAAGGGAAACCATGGGACCTATGTTTCTTTGGGCCTGGCTTACTTCACTTAATATAATTTTTTCCAAGTCTTTCCATTTCCTAACAAATGGGGCAATGTCATTCTTTCTGATGGAGGCATAGAATTCCATTGTGTATATATACTACATTTTCTTGATCCATTCATCTACTGAGGGGCATCTGGGTTAGTTCCATATCTTAGCTATGGTAAATAAGGCTTCAATAAACATAGTTGTGCTGGTAGCTTTAGTATGGTCTTGTTTGTGAACATTCGGGTAAATGCCCAAAAGTGGGATTGCTGGGTCATAGGAGAGCTCTATGTGGAGTCTTTTGAGGAACCTCCATACTGCTTTCCAAAGTGGTTGAACAAGTTTACACTCCCACCAACAATGCAATAAGATTCCCTTCTGTCCACATCCCCTCTAGCATCTGTTGTTATTAGAGTTCTTGATTATAGCCATTCTAACTGGAGTGAAGTGGTATCTCAATGTTGTTTTAATTTGCATTTCTTTTATGGCTAGAGAGATTGAGCATTTCTTTATGTGTGTATTGGCCATCCTTCTTTCTTCTTCAGAGAAGTTTCTCTTTAAGTCTTTATCCCACTTATTTATTGGTCAGTTGTTTCTTTGAAGATTTGTTGTTGGGGGATTTAATTTTTTGAGTTCCAGGTATATTTTAGATATGAGACCCTTGTCCGTTGTATGGCTAGTAAAGATCTTCTCCCAATCCGTGGGCTTTCTATTAATCTTACTAGCTATGTCCTTCGCCATGCAGAAAGCTCTGCAATTTCATGCTGTCCTATTTGTCCAACCTTTCTTTGATTTGTTGTGTTTCTGGGTCTCTATTAAGAAAATTTGGGCCTGTGCCAAGGAGACCTAGGGCTTCTCCTATTTCATTCTGTAATGTTTTCAGAGTGTCTGCTTTGACTTTGAGGTCTTTGATCCATTTGGAGTTGATTCTGGTGCAGGCTGATATATAAGGATCTAGCTTTAGTTTTCTACAGGAGTTTAACCAATTTTGCCAGCACCATTTACTTTCTTCCATTCTATTTTTTTAGCTCCCTTATCGAAGATTAGATAGCTATAGGTCTGTGGGTTCATTCCTGGGTTTTCAATTCTATTCCATTGGTCCTGAGGTCTATTCTTGTGCCAGTACCAAGCTGTTTTGATTACTATGGCTTTGTAGTAGAGTTTGAAATTTGGTATTGCTATTCTTCCAGCACTTTTCTTTCTCATACAGTGTTTTGTCAGGAAATCATGATAAGAAAAAAAATATGTGATGTGTTCAGCATCACATGTGTTTGGATATTTTTGTTCTGTGCTTGCACTCTACCACTTGAGCCACAATTCCACTTCTGGTTTTTTGGTAGATTATTGGACTTTTTCCTGCCCAGGCTGCCTTGGAACCATGATCTTCATATCTCAGCCTCCTGAGTAGCTAGGATTACAGGCCTGAGCCCCCAGCACCCTGCTAACCTGACCTTCTCATCTTGACCCTTAGCAGGCCACTTTTTTGAACCATGATGGGCATGCATATTATGGTGCTCTAGAGCATTTAGGACCCTTAGAAATGATCCTCAGACAAATGTTCATTCTACAGATGAAGCAATTCATTTCCTTTGCCACATTGAACCTTGCAGTAGTGGCGGAGGGAGACATTCTTAGCTCTCCATTGCCCAAACCCAGCCATGCCCCAACTGTCAGGAAAGAGAGTGGATAGTTATACTTCCTAGGGCACCTGCCTGTTTTATCACAACACAATATGTGTGTGCACACATGTGCATGCACGTGCATGCCATACCACTTGAGCTATAGCTTTACCTCTGACTTTATTGGTAGTTTATTGGAGACAAGAATTTCATGGACTTTCCTGCCCTGGCTGGCTTCCAACTATGATCCTCAGATCTCAGCTTCCTGAGTAGCTAGGATTACAGGTGTGAGCCACTAGCTTCCAGCAACCCTGATTTTTCCTGTCTTAGGTAATTGCTTCACTTGGTTTGCGGGGGGGGGGGGGGGGGGGGGGAATGTAATATAAAACATTCTTTCCATTTCTTTTTATTTGTCCCTATGGCCTTTTTAGCTCTAAATGATCACTATCCTGTACTCACAAATAAATGTGCCCAAAGCTGCACTTACTCCAAAAATACCTTTGAAAGGAATAATTGGTAAATGTAGCTACCCACTCCTGGCATATCGTTTTAGCATACATTTTTAAATGGAGGTAAATGTTTTACATTTCCCTGACAAAATGAGGAGGGGGTTTGGTAATGAGGTTTTCTTATCTGGAACAGGTTATCCTGTGCCAAGGTGAAGCCCAGAACAACATCCATTTCTTTCAATGTTCAGCTTGGGAAAACAAAGTTCAATTATAGCCAGGCAGCCATACCCAGGGTTTGGCTCAACAGGGGACCGTGCAAATTAGATGGTGTTTAGGAAGGAATTTGGGAGTAAGACAAATCTCCCTTTTTGCAGAGTGCTCTTCCCAGCTTGCCTGCTCATGAACAGGTTCTTAGAGAGAAAGAATAAATTGACAACCAGCCCTGTATACATTTTTATCAGATTGTTCATGTCTGTTTTTCTTCCTTTCATAGATGGATGACTCCGGGGAAGACATAGACCAAATGTTCAGCACTTTGCTGGGGGAGATGGATCTTCTGACCCAGGTAAGCTTTCCTTCTTCACCTTCAAATTAGAGGGGAACATAGCCCACAGAATTTGATATTAATATGACAAGAATGTAGTCTCCAAAAAGCTGGAGCTGCCTAGAGCTCAGGCCTGTAATCATATCTACTCAAGAAGCTAAACTCTGAGGATCATGTCTGTGAGACTCTTATCTCCAACTAACCACCAAAAAACTGGAAGTAGAGCTGTAGCTAAAGTGGTAGCCTTGAGCAAAAAAAAAATATGCTCTGGTACAGCACCCAGGCCCTGAGTTCAAGCCCCAGAACTGGCACAAATAAATAAATACAGACATAAAAGTAAATAAATAAAGCAAGCTGGAGTTTGACATTATCACAGTCCTGGTAGAACTGTGACAGTGATGGAAAATTAATAAAGCTTTTTCCTGATTTCACCCTTGTGAGTTCAGTTAATTTAATATGTCAGTCACACTAGCATTCTCTAATAGCATTGCGTATGACTACCATACTCAATGGAGAAAGGCAGCCAGGCAACCACCACTGCTGAGACCAGCTGAGACAATGACATCATCTTCAGTAAAGACTCATTCCAGCCTTTGAGGAAGTGCTCTGTGTTAAAGGATCTGAGTGGGAATGATGGTAGCCTCCTGAGTGGACCAGAAGAACTCAGTCCCCTCAAAAGAGCATGGAAGTCATTCCACATAGACAGCCACTCAGCAAGGCAGGACACTACGACCTGATGGCCCTCACTGGTCACCCCGTTGTCAGGTCAACCAGTGCCCAGCAGCCACTGATCCAGGTCACAATCTGATAAGCTTGGTGTATCTTGTAATGTGCCCAGAAGTACTTCCTTGATTGGCAGAGAATTCAGGTCATTACTTCCTGTGCAAAATATCCAAGAAAGAATAATGTAGTCTTCTACCATGAGATAGGGATCCTGAGTTTTTAACCTGCATTTTTGGGGGCCTGTGTTTTGGAAGATCTTTAATTTTAATTAGCATGTAGTTTCTGTGGAGGCATGTGAGCTGATGAAAGGTGTTAAAATGTAAGCGTATTTCCATATATGAGAACTTGGTTCTTCTCCCATAGAGATAAGAGTTCTGATGAATCACTGTGGTCATTCACTCTCTTCAGAAGCCAGTGGGAGGAAAGACCATCCTGATTGGTCAGAGACTGGGATTTTTCATCACACTTCAGCCTGTTAGTATAGCTCAAGAGCAGGAAGTAGCTATCACAAAGTCTCTTGGACCTACCCTAGTCCTACCCTTTGAGATTTTGTTCTTTCTTTGTTATGTGGGTATTGTCCTAGAGTTTATTTGGATAATACATCTCTCCCAATAACTCCCAAGGGTTAGGGAAAGGGAAAGGACCTACCTGTGCTCAGATTTAGCATCAGTTCTTCAGTTTGACCATTATCAACTTACCTTTTGAGATTACTGGCTGTTTTCACTGTATTTGATTCCAGTGCCCTGCATCTTGTAGATACATTTTTCTAATTTTGGCAGAGGAAGTGAAATAGCAAAATGCTGAAATAAGGATGCAGGCTGACCCATTGTAACAATGAGATGTACAAGACTCTGTTGAAAACGAACTTTACAACTTTGGGGTGGGGGGAGGAGTTGGGGAGGTGGTGAAGGAAGGGATGGTAGGGGAAAAACAAAGGAGGAGGTAACAATGCTCAATAGGAAATGTACTTGTTACCTTACTCAAGTAACTGTAAGCCCTTTGTACAGTATTTTACAATAAAAATATATTCAAAAAATTAGGATACAGTTGGGGGCTAAGATGTAACTTAGGATACTAATTGAGCATATTATAAAGCCCCAGGTTCAAACCCTAGAACCACACACTTATACAAAGTATTTTTCTTTTGAAATAACTTCAAGCTTACAGAAAAGTTAAAAAAAAAAAACAGTACAAGGGGATGGGAAGGTGGCTCAATGGTAGAGCACTTGCCTTGAGCTGAAGAGCTGAGGGACAGCGCCCAGGCCCAGAGTTCAGGCCCCATGATCGGACCAAAAAAAACAGCACAAGGACACTATTTTTCCCCAGCTTTCCTAAGGGTTAATGATATACTATCCTGTGCATTATCATTCTCTGTCACTTGATAAAGGTGGCATGCATCCTATATAAGTGAAAACATAACATTATTGAATCAATTTCAATAGGATAACACATCTGGGAAATTTTTCAAAAACTGCACTTCACCATATCTTTATACAGCCAGTGAGTTCCAAGAATCAAAGATGTAAAAATATGAAATATAAACAGGAGAAAACTTAGAAGTAATATTGATATAAAACAAAGTCAGCTTTCTCAAGCAAATTATAACAGAGAAGCCATAAATTAATAACCTATTTTAAAATGTTTTTAATTTTTTTAGGTAGTTAAAAAATAACTTTCAGATCATAATAATGCCAAAACAAACAAACAAAAACAAAAAATTTCTAGGCTGAGGGGTGTAGCTCCGTGGAGCAGCATTCATCTCGTATGCCCAGGGCCACTGATCCAACCCCAGCACTAATCAAAACACTCCCTTATTTCTTGGTCACCATTGGAAACCGCCAACGCATTAAATTATTGTTCTGAAATGTGCAAATAGAGAAAAATCAAGTGTTGAGTTTAGCTTCTTTATGATCCTCCTTACACTATTCTTTGGAGCAAATTATTTATTAGAGAAAGTTCTTTCTAGAAAAATTCCAGTTAGGCACTGGAAAGGAACAGAGTGGGAGTTATCAGCAGGCAAGTTCCATGGAAATGCACTTCAAGCATATGGTTGTCAAAGGGTTGATAGAAACCAGCTCTAGGAAACTTCAGTCATTTGCCTTCATGGAAAATGCCAAAATTACAATCTTGTTTTGTATGATTAGTTTCTTAATCTTTCCCTTTAATCAATTTTTAAATTAAACTAAAGCCAATTTGATGCTCTCATTTAATTTTTTTCTTAATAAACGTTCAAGTGGATGCAAGGCCATTTGCATTTTAAATAGTTATGCCTTTGTATAGCACCTTATTTCACAGGCCTCACCAGACACAGAGAGGAAAGCATTGCATGCTTCATTTCATTTGGGCTTTGAATAACTTTTTACCACTAACAGACTTCTTTTGGAAAATCAGTTCCTCTGCCTACCCCCACCTCAGCTTACTAGAATCTTGTTTTATTACAAATTCAAATTGGTTTCTTTCTTAGCTTTCTTTCCTTCTCTCTCTTTTTTTCTCTTTTTAGTTCTCTTTATTTTTCCTTTCTCGCTTGCTCTCTCTCTCTCTTTTTTGGCAGTACTAGACTTTGGAGTTTAAACTCAAAGTCCTATACTTGTTAGGCAGGTGTTCTACCTCTTGAACCATGCTACAAAGCCCTTTCATGACTCTACTTATTTTTGAAGTAGTATCTCACCTTTTTCCATACAGAGTAGCTTGGACCTTTGTCACCTTACCTATAGCCTCCTAGATAGGTAGGATCACAGATGTAAACTACCAGGCCTAGGCTATTAATTGAGATGGGGTTTCACTAACTTTTGGCCTGGGCTGACCCTGAATTGTGATCCTCCCAATCTTGCTTCCCAGGTAGCTGAGATTCTAGCTGAGCCAACACATTTGTATTTGTGTATTAACATTTTGCTAAGAGAACTACTTCTAATTTCATTAAATAGCACAATAAATTATATTCTGAGATAAAATTAATTGGTTCTACTGAGAGGTAGACAGCAATAACACTAAAACACAAATTCATTTTTTTGTATTTCCTTTCACTAAATTTTTTGTTTTGGTGTTTTTTCTATTGTTTATCCATCATGTTTTCTTCTCTAGACAATATTTTACATGTTTATTCTGTTTTTAAAAATGAATTCTCAAGTCATGGCCACCCTTCATTTTATACTTGATTCTTACTTGGTAGGATTGAATTCTTTTAAATTTCTTGATTTTTTTCGTGCTTAAAATTGATTATGCTTCATTAGGTATCTATGGCTCACACCTATAATCCTAACTAATCAGGAGCCTGATGTCTGAGGATCACAGTTCAGTACCAGCCCTGGCAGGAAAGTGCAGAAGACTCTTATTGCCAATTCACTACTCAAAAGCCAGAAATGGAGCTGTGGCTCAAGTGATAGAGCACTAGCCTTGAGTACAGAAGCTCAGAGACAGCATCCAGGCCTTGGGTTCAAGTCCCAGGATCAGCACACACACACACACACACACACACACACACGATTATGGTTCATTTATTTTTGAGTATATATTTATTTGTTTCCTCCAGAAAATTTTCTGAACTGGAATGTTTTTTACCAAGTCAGATGAACATCAAGGGATATATTTAGTCATAAAAACACACTTCTCACAACACAATGGCCTTGAATAGGTACATTGGAATGTCATATAGCTTTAAATCATATAAAAAGTCAGTTATTTCCACATAAGAATAACATTATGTGCAAAAACTAATAAGTGATTCTGTCCTGATTTCTTCTCTTTTTTTCAGTGCTGGGGATCAAATTGAGGGCTTCAGACATACTAGGCAAGACTACCACTGAGCTATATCTCAATCCTATATAATCTCTTTTTAAGAAGTCTTATTAGATAAATATAAAAGCCTAACATGTTACCATATAATGGCAGATTACATCTTGGACCATTTTTCTACTCCAAATGACCAGATATTTCTTTCTTTGATGCCATTACATATGTCTTTGTAAGATTATATGTAGTATATGTGTTCGTTATTATAAGAAATTTTCTTCATTGCTTACTAAAATTAACCATCTCCTCATTATCTTCAGTTAAAATGCTCTGTTTCAAAATGTTTCTTGGAGAATCATTTTTTTAATTGTAATTTGCTATAGGAGAGATACCACATAAAACATTTTCAGGTAAGAACCTGCAGAGAATTAAGAGAAAACATGGTGAATTATGGATGCTTTGGTGCTTGCTGTTTAACATGTACTACAGAAACATTGGTATGTTAACTCTTTGGAACTGTTTCAGAGTTTGGGAGTGGACACTCTCCCTCCTCCTGAACCTAAACCAGCCAGCGCTGAATTTAACTACACTGTGGGCTTCAAAGATTTAAATGGTAAGCATAACAAATTACTTTTCTCAAGTAATTTGAAATCATTATGATGACTCAAATCAGTGTCACAATTTGAGTATAAAATGTAAGGTTCTTGGACATCATGATAATCAGAGTTCAGAATGTATTTTACTGTGTCTAGATTAAATTAAAGTCAATTGGATTGAGGTAGAACAATGGAAGAGGTTACACTGATCGAGATGGATTGTACTCATAAATGGACATGTTGAATTGAAACTCCTTTGTACAACTATTTACAAATAATAATAAAAAATAAAATTATAATTTAAAAGTCAGAAATTTTCTTATGACAAGGAACTCCATCTGCATATGTGAAAAGTCTCAAAAATGTCCTTTTAAAAAAAAGGTGAGAGTTTCTTCTTATTACTACAGAATAGCGTAATATTAATAAGAAAATGATCTTCAAGGATAAAATTTAATTTTCCATTTCATGATGATGGATGACTTTTGATAATACATTAATAATTCAATATACAATTTGTTTAAAATATAATACACCTTCATTTATATATCATATACTTTATATGCAATTTACTGTGTGACATTTTTAATTCTCCCTAAGAGTGACACTATTGACATTATTAACAAAGGTCTTATTTAGTATAGAGAGAATGTCAGTTCACTTGCTATTCAAATTATAAAAAGTAATCACTTCAAGACTTGGACTGGAAATATTGAAGAAGATCTATCAAATATTTATAGTGCTACAAAGAGTGTGGGGAATAAAGGGAGAAACTCAATTCTGGAAATCCAGAGTTCCAAGTTTATTTTTATCCCTCCCTGAGTTTCTTTGTTTCTACATTTTCAGTCATGTTTTGATTAACCAGTTGACACCCATGACTGATTCTCTATATGATAGAACATGTCTTTTGAGTTTGCCTTCTTCCTACCTATATTCTTTTCTATTTACCACATACGCTTATGATTCCTGCCAGTCAATGCCACCAAGAGAGTCAGTTGCTGAAGTTTCAGAAACGAATGTACTTAAGTTGGGTATGGTCGCACTCACCTGTAATCCCAGCAGTGCTCAGGAGGCTAAGGCAGGAAGATCACAAGTTCAAAGACCCGCCTGGGTTACATATGATCAATATAATAAGCTAACATAAGTTAATTTTTGTCTTTCAAAAACACTGTGTATATCCCCTAAAGGAATATAAAACACAGTTGGTTACAGTCCGCTTCCTTCCAGAAATATTTATCCAAATGCCCGGGCAGCCCTCACTTTCCATGCTTTCTCTAGCTTCCACCCTCTCCTACTTTTCTAAAACCCTAGGTCAGATCTTGCAATAAAATGACAAAGAATCCCTGACTTAACAGCTGTTCCTATTCTTTAATTTGACTTTATAGCTATTTATAAGGTATCTCTATGTAGAACATATTTTGTCCTTTTCTTTTCTTCCTATTGGAAACTCCCTCAGATCTCATTCAGTAAATGCAGCGCTAATAATTTCAGGTATCACCATGCCTGGGTGTTTGCTCCTGAATACAAAATGTTTTCAACCTTTTCCATTATGGTAACATCTAGAAATGATGATTTGGGAGCTGGGAGCCAGTGGCACATGCCTGTAATACTAGCTACTCAGGAGCCTGAGAGTTGAAAATCCTAGTTCAAAGCCAGCTCAAGCAGGAAAGTCTACGAGACTCTTATCTCCAATGCACCAACAAGAAAGCCAGAAGGGATGTTGTGGTTCAACTGATAGAGCACCATCCTTGAGCAAAAATAAGCTAAGGGACAGTGCCTAGGCCCTGAGTTCAAGCCCCAGTACTAGCACACAAAAAAGTAACTTTTTAAACATGATTGTCCACTATGCAATTATTACCATCAAAATGATCAGCTTTTATTATTTCTAGGGGCAAACAGTTGGCTTTTATCAGTCATGTGATTTTCCCTCCCAGAATCCCTCAATGCACTCGAAGACCAAGATTTAGATGCACTCATGGCAGATCTGGTGGCAGACATAAGAGAGGCTGAGCAGAAGACTATCCAGGCACAGAAAGAGACTGCTCAGCATCAGCACCCCTCAGCGCCTCTGGAGGCCTCCAGTTATGGCGGCGCTGCCTCTGCTGATTATGGAATGCCCACTGCGAGGACTGTTAGCCAGTATGAAAATGATCTGCCACCCCCACCGGCTGACCCCATGTTGGACCTGCCACCACCTCCGCCACCTCCTGAACCTCTTTCTCCGGTAAGTGAGAGGGACAGACATGGAAGAACCATTGATTTCTGTGATGTGTCATCTTCGGCCTCCTTTGAAGTGATTGTTACATTCATATGTCTGTAAGCTTGTATGCCCAAAGCTTTGAGCTGCTACAACCAGGGCTGCCGAGCATGCTTATTGCAAAGTAAGAGCTCCCATGAACAAGAAGCAAAGATGGCGGCCCAGTCTGTCTTCTGTTGCTATACCTAAATGCCAGGAAATAGGTCATGTATAAAGAATAAAAGCTTATTTGGCTCCCAGTTCTGAAGGCCAGATATCAAACAGGGTGATACAAACATCTCCTGCTGCATCGTAAGATCTCCAAAGCAATGGTGCTCAACAGCATCACTGCCTTGATATTCCATTCAACCTGGGGTTCATGAATCCTGCCCTTAAGACCTAATAACCTTTTTAAAAAATCCCACCTGGTTCCCCTTGTAGTAACTCACAAAGGATAGTAAATTTCAACTTGAGTTTCGGTGATGACATTCAATTCAGGGTACAGAAAGAATATAAAGAAGGGTTGGCATGCTTTTACATATACTTTGGGAAAACCACATACCAAACTCAGAATTAAAAATGAGTTATGGTTTTCATGAGAGAGGCGGAGAGAGGGAGAGGGAGAGAGAAAGAGGGTGATACAAACTTCTAATCCCAGCAATTGAGAGACAGAGACAGACAGGAGGATCCTGAGTTCAAAGTCATTCTGTGCTACATAAGCAAGATGCTTTTGAAAGAAAGGTGGGGGGAGGGACAGAGGAATGGAGGGATGGAGCGAGGGAAAAAGAAAAGAAAAAAAGAGAAAGAAGTGACTATGGAATTAAACTCTGAAATCATGAGCCAAAATAAATCTTTGATCCCTGAGAAGAAAAAGAATATATTAAGGTCATATCTAGAATGTATCACGGTTTGCTTTGAAATTAGATACATACATACATACACATGTGTGTGTTTGTGTGTGTGTAGTGTGTGTGTATTCTTCTTGATAATACTCAGCCTTTTGGGGATTGCATGGGCTATGGCACTGATTTATGCATTTCCATGTTTTGGGGCCCTGGCCTAGTACATAGAGAATAAAAGGTCTTCATTATACACTCTCTGAATCAAATGCAGTTGATTCTGTTGACTTGGTAGCTCTGTTCAATAGGGCAAAAAGAGATCTAATACTAGGTGCTGGTTACTCACACCTGTAATCCTAGCTACTCAAGAGGCTGAGATCTGAAGATCACAGTTCAAAGCTTGCCTTAGCAGGAAAGTTTATGAGACTCTCATCTCCAATTAACAATCAAAAGTCTGAGTAGAGAGCTGTGGCACAAGTGATAGCGTATCAGCCTTGAGCAAATAAAAAAGCTCAGAGATAGTTCCCAGGCCCTGAATTTAAGCCCCACAACTGGCACACACGCATATGCACGTGTATGCATGCACGCGTGCACACACACACAGAGAAGATCTAAGCATCACTTATACTGTCATAGTTGACAATGTGAAAATAAGGCTGAAAAGTCATGGCTGCTTGTACAGTAGCATTATTTGGGACATTAACTCATGTCTCTCATGAAAACAAAAGTAACACTTTTAAGGATTTTTTTCTTAGGCCAAGGCACTTTAAAAATATATTAGGCTAAGAATCTAATTCAGTACACATTTGTGTGAATGATAATGGTCATAGGAATACATATGGCTCTAGTGGTTCTAGAAGTTTCTACAGTGTCTTTGCATGACCAGATTTTTCAATGAAAGTTAAGCATTAAACCTTAGTCTGTCACCCTCATTGTTCCATTGTGTGTTTATTATAGAAAAAGTATTTGAAAATTGGTATCAATGTAGAGCTCTTCAAATAGGGCAGATGCATAAAGATTTCAAGGAGGACATGACTTTCCCGAAAGTAAACACAAAGTCAGAAGCGCACTTGAACTCCTAGGAAATTCTTCACTTTCAGTTCTAAAAAGGCTGTGTCTCATATGAGTCCAAGAACATTGGCATAAAAGATCATATGAATTATTTCAAGCAATTAGAATCTAACCAGAGCAGCTCATTTTTCATCATTATACATAGAGACTCTTAATACTCCAGTTCTCATAATTTTAACTTCCAATATTTAAGGGCGTTTGGGCCCATAAAATATCTGTTTGTTTTTTTCTTTCTGCCTGTATGTATTCACCAATGTTTCTTGTTGTTGCTTTAGTGATTTATGAGGTTAAATGTTTGCTGACATCCTAACTTTAGGAGAGTTAAGACCTTTTTGAAGAACCTAATAAAAACAGCAAGAAGTCAGGTGCCAGTGGCTCACTCCTATAATCCTGGCTACTCAAGAGGCTTGATATCTGAGCCTCAGGGTTTGAAGCCAGCCTGGGTAGATAAATCCTAGAGTCTCGCATCTCCAAGTAGCCAGATAAAAAGCCAACCTAGAGATGTAGCTCAGATAGTAGGGTGCCAGCCATGAGCAAAATAGCAGAGTGAGAGTACAAGGCCCTCACTACTAACTGCATGCAACACACACACACACAGCACAAACCAGTGAGACATGGTAGTACATGCTTGTAATTCTGGCACTTTGGAAGTTGATGCAGGAATATAAGAAGTGCCAGACCAGCCTGAACTATATAGCAAGACCCTGTCTCAAACTCTCCCAACGTCCAGACACACTGTAATAAAAATTAATACTCCTCTAAACAGACATCCCAATCCATGATGCTTCCTATAACTTCAGGAAGAGCTCAGATCCTTTGAGATGGGTTCTGTTATAGATTCCTTCTATTGGTCCCCCCACCCTATGTGCAAGCCAGTGAAGACCTTTGGAGTCTAACACTATAAGGCCCTCTAAGGTCATCAGTTTATCTTTTTTTTTTTTTTTTTGGTCCGGTCATGGGACCTGAACTCTGGGCCTGGGCGCTGTCCCTCAGCTCTTCAGCTCAAGGCTAGCACTCTACCACTTGAGCAACAGTGCCACTTCCGGCTTTTCTCTTTTTGCTTATGTGGTGCTGAGGAATCAAACCCAGGGCCTCAGGCATGCAAGACAAGTGCTCTACCACTGAGCCACCTTCCCAGCCCCATCAATTCATCTTTGACATTGAAATTCCCAGGCTAATAAATGATGAGTCTTTCTATACCTCAGGGTTAAGTATTCTGATTGTAGTCACTTCAACTGTTAAGTTTGAGTGTGTGAAATTGCGTACCCTCTGGCAGGGTGACAAAGACGTCAGCAAAAGGCAGGAGTCCTTACTTGTTGTTACTAATGGATTGTACTGAATATCTTGCCATTTTACAGGAAGAAGAAGAAGCCCAATCCAAAGCTGATAAAATTAAGCTGGCATTGGAAAAACTGAAGGAAGCCAAGGTTAAGAAGGTAAACAATCACTTTTTCATGGGGAGAAGTTATAATAATTACACTTGACTCGAGGTAAAGAGCCTGCCAAGCAAACTAGAGGCCCTGAATTCAAACCCAAATACCACCATCAACAACAGAAAATAGGGGCTGAAGGCATGGCTCAGCAGTGCCTTGTAAGCACACAGTCCTGAGTTCAAATGAGTACAGCCTACAGAGAGGAAAGCAAGACCTCTTTGGTCAAAATAAAAATCAAGTTCTCATGTGATACCAGCAGCTCACATCTAGCTAGTAATCCTAGCTACTCAGGAGTCTGAGACCTGGAGGATCAAGATACAAAGCCAGAGTGGCAGAAAAATCTGCAAGATTCCATTTCCAAGTATGCCAGACTGGAGGTGTAGCTCAAGAGGTAGAGCACCAGCCATGAGCAAGAAAACCAAGTGAGAGCGTGGGACTCTGAGTTCAAGCACTGGTACTAGCACACACACACACACACACACACACACACCATATATGTATAATATTTTATATATTATATAATAAATTTTCAGGTGGTACTTTCCCTGTAGTTGTCAATTTTTAATTATAAAGACAAAGATAAAGTTTATGGTTTTTCTCTTTATAATATTATTGGCTCCTTTGTGTGGGGATTGCCATTTTTGTCTAGCAATGGAAGTTTCTTGGTCTGTACATGATTTGTTTTTCCTTTGGTTTATACATATTTTTCTCTGAGGTAGAATCATGGATGTTGAATTTCTCTTACATAAGAAAAGAAAAGACTCTTGGCTTGGCTTACATATAAGCATAACACTTCCATCCAGGCCTATTTTGAAAATTTTTAAACCAATCTGTAAATAAATAAATAAATAAAACCAATCTGTACATCCAGAGCTTTCTGCTGAGACTTCAGCTTCCCTGACTCACCAGCAGGTGGCGCTATCTTCTGAGCCTGCCTTAATTGGGTCAGAGCATGGCTTTAGTTGACCTCTTGTGCCCATAGTTACTTGAGCATTTTTCACATCCCCTGGGAGAAGCTTCAAACTCTGTTGCTTACTCTAGCTGTCCAAGTCTTATCTCAGGGAAACCAAATGTTTTTTGCTTATTCTCTTGTTTCTAAATTGCCAAGATTTTGAGTAATCTGCTCCTAAACTTACTTTCCCAACAGCCTGTAATTCGATTGTGCAATTTTTGCAAATCATGGGTTATTTTTCTTCCAAGAATGTGTATTCCTGGGGGAAAAGGCAAGGGCTAAAGATACAGCTCAGTAGTGTATCACTTGCCTAGCCTGTAGAAGGCCCTATGTTCAATCCCTAGAACTGCAAAGAGAGAATAAATAAAAACAAAAATCATTGTCAGATAATTTCAAACCACTTTATTGTTTACAAAAAATAAGGGCCACAAGGGCTGGGAATGTGGCAAAATGGTAGAGTGCTTGCCTAGCATGCACAAGACCCTTGGTTTGATTCCTCAGTACCACATAAACAAAAAATAATTTTTTAATTATATTTTTAAAGAATAAGGGTCACATTGCATATATTTTCAGAATAGAAATGAAAAGAGAAGTTGCTTCTTAGGTACAAAGGTAGAACAAGGAGAAGATGCGGTCTGTCTGCTTTAGGTGGCCCCCGAGAACTGGAGAATGTAGCAGCTATTTCCTGCTATCATAAAGCAAGAGAGTTTACCATCTTTAGTTTAGATGAATGATGACAGTAAACACAAAGCATAGTCTATCTTCACCCAACAAGGAAGATGCACAACAGAAGCCACTCTAGTTCTAGAAAGGGAAAGAGAATAATCAAAATGAGTTGTATACTCCAGATGTGTGTAAGGCTTTGTGGGTTTGTTTTGGTTTTTGTTGTTTCCTTGTTGTTTTGTTTTTGCTGGTCCTGTGGCTTAAACTCAGAGTCTGGGCGCAGAGCCTGAGCTATTTTTGCTCAAGATTCAAACTCTACCACATGAGCCACAGCTCCACATCCTGCTTTTTGGTGGTTAGTTGGAGATAAATTCCTGCCTGGATTGGTTTCAAACTGCAGTCCTCAAATCTCAGCACCTGAGTTGTTAGGATTACAGACCTGAGCCACCAGCGCCCAGCTTCCAAATGTATTTTTAAAAACAAAAGCCTAGTACGGCATGGGTTATAAGAAAACTAAGTGAGAGGCATACACGTTAGGGGAGGAACACCATAGGGCTACTACATGTTTTTATGAAAATCAAGTCTGCCTGAAACATTTCACACCCAAGCATTCCATGGAGAGTTAGCATTATTTTGACTTCTATATAATGTCCATAGCTTGTGCTATAATGCTTTTGGAATCAGAAATGGAATCAGATGCATTCAATTACTTGTTTCTTCCAAAGCTTGGTAATACAGGAGAACAATCTCATTTGTAAATTTTATTAGAAAAACAAAAAAGAAAAGCATTGTAAATAATTTAGGACTAGGATGCTTTTGGATTTAATAGCTTTCAAATGAAAGATAAGAAAGAAGTGATTTTTTTTCTTTTTTAATATGTATTTTGTATTGTAAAGATACTGTACAGAGGGGTTACAGTTATATGAGTAAGGTAATGAGTGCATTTCCTATTGAGCATTGTTACCCTCTCCTTTGTTTTTCCCCTACCATCATCCCTTCCCTCCCCATTTCCCCAACTCCCCTCCTCCCCTCTCCCCCACCCTGCACGCCTGATGTTGTAAAGTTCATTTTCAACATAGTGTCTTGTAAATCTCATTGTTAAAATAGGTTAACCTGTATCCTTATTTAAGCATTTTGTTTTTTCCCTTCCCCTCCCCAGAAAGAAGTGGTTTTTACACTATATAATAACTCTATTAATGAATTAGAAAGGCAGTGATTTTCTTTCCATTTGTGAATGTTTTGTCCCATAGAACATTGTATGAATACTAAAGACACTGAGCTTGCTAAGTCATGAGCCATAACTGTGATTCCTGATGCTCCTATGAGTTGGTGTAGAGTTGCTCATCACTAGCAAATGTGACAAAAGAAAATATGTGAAGAATAGGGTAATTTCATCCTGTTAAAAAGTCAACAGCCTTCTCTTAACGTTTGTGTTTGCTAAATTCTATAATTGTGGACATTTGGATTCAATCTGCTTGGTGATTTCTGCCCAAAAAAATCCCCTTTCATCATTGTGAAATTATGCACTTGAATACTTTTTTCCTCTCAATTACCAGAAAAAAAAAAAAAGACCAGCATGTATTTTATTTTCTCAAAAATTCCTAAACAAGAATGAAACATGGTCAGATATCCTTAATTTTTTTCTTTTTTTTCCTTAATTTTTAAAACAGGAAGATTAAACATTTTCAGCCTGAGGACTGGTAGCTATTTTACAACAATAATTCTGAGCAGAGAACAATGAGTGTGTCTTCCACAGAAAAACAGTAAAGCCAAGCACTGGTGGCTCATTCCTAGAATCCTTGCTACTCAGGAGGCTGAGATCTAAGGATGGAGATTTAAAGCCAGCCCTGACAGACAAATCCAAGAGACTCTTATCTGCAACTTACCAGCAAAAAGCCAGAAGTATACCTGTGGCTTAAATGACAGGATGCCAATCTTGAGCATAAAAACTAAGGGAGGGGAAAAAAAAGAGGGAAGGAAGGATGGTTAGAAGGAAGGAAGGAAGAAGGAAAGAAGGAAGGAAGGAGAGGGAGAAAGAAGGAGGGAGGGAGAGCAAGAAAGATAAAGGAAGGAGAGAAAGGAAAGAAAGAAAAAAAAAGAGCAAGAAGGGAAGGAAAGAAGGAAGGAAGGAAAAGAAGGAAGGAAGGAAGGAAGGAAGGAGGGAGGGAGGGAGGGAGGGAAGGAAGGAATTTCTATGTATCCATACAGCCTTCAGGTCTCATATCTAAGATCAGATGAATATTTTTGACAGTGTGGGTACTTGGGCCTATTGTTTTAAATATACCAAAAGGCGAATATAAGCCAGGACCTGGTGGCTCACGCCTGTAATCACAGCTACACAGGAGACTGAGATCTGAGGATCACATTCAAAGTCAGCCAGCCAGGAAAAGTCCATGAGATTTTTATCTCTAATAAACTACTCAGAAAAGCCAGACTAGCGCTGTGGCTCAAGTGGTACAGCACTAACCTTGAGCACAAAAGAGACTCAGGGACAGTGGCCAGGTCTGGAATTCAAGTCCCAGGACTGGCAAAAAAAAAAAAAAAAGGCAAATATATCCAAGAAGCATGTTTTCAAGAGAGAAAAAATATTTCTCAGGCAAATCTGGAAGCAATCTGCTTGATAGGTTCCTGGAAGAAGAAGGAACTGCCCAGATGTCTCCGTGTTGGCTTTGCAATGTGCATGAATTAGGAAGGGGAGTACTTCAGCTGTGCTCACTGCCTGTTCCTCCCCCAGATTGTATCATACACTTCCTCCTGTTGCTTAACTCTGCACAGGACCTACAGGAACTGCCCATCTCCATCTTTAAACTTGTTAAGGTCAGCATAGGTGGGACAGGAAGCTGCTCACAGCCTAACCCAAACTTTTCTGGTGGTGGTGGTTAGGGAGCTTGAATCCAGGGCCTGGGCACTGTCCCTGAGCTTTTTCACTCAAGGCTAGTGCTGTACCACTTTGAGCCACAGCACCACTTCTGGTTTTCTAGTGGTTGATTGGAGATAAGAATCCCAAGAACTTTCCTGCTCGGGCTGACTTTGAACCACATCCTCAGCTATCAGCCTGCTGAGTAGCTAGGGTTACAGCTATCAGCCACCAGCATCTGACCTAACCCAAACTTTGGAAGAGAAAGGCATGTTGCCAATTTTGTGGCCTATTGAATCCCTTTTTTTATGTGTGCCAGTTCTAGGTCTTGAATCCAGGGCCTGGGCACTGTCACTGAGCTTTTTGGCTCACTGCTCAAGCCACAGTTCTTTCGACTTTGTGTGTATGTGTGTGTGTGTGTGTGTGTGTGTGTGTGTGAGTGTGTGAGAGAGAGAGAGAGACAGAGAGACAGAGACACAGACACAGATAGAGATAGAGATAGAGACAGAGATAAGTTGGAAATAAGAGGAGATAAGAGTCTCACAGACTTTCCTACTTGGTTGGACTGGCTTCAAACCACAGATCCTCAGATCTCAACCTCTTGAGTAGCTAGGATTACAAGTGTGAGCTACCAACACCTAGCTCAAATCACTATTATTTCTGCCAGTCCTGGGGCTTGAACTCTGGACCTGGGCACTGTTCCTAAGTTCCTTTTGCTCAAGGCTAGCACTCTATCTCCTGAGCCACAGTGCCACTTCTGGCTTTTTCTGCGATTAACAGGAGATGAGTCTCACAGATTTTCCTGCCCACCTGGCTTCAAGTAGTGATCCTCAGATCTCAGCCTCCTGAGTAGCTAGGATTACAAGCATCAGAACACCAGTACCCAGCTCAAATCACTTTTTTAATTAAGATAAGTCTCACTGGGAAATGACCAGGATTAACATTCTGTAAATATACTACAAATACACTGATCCCAAAGAAAATCCAAACTCTTGATGCATTGCTTTATGAGATAATCTCCTTCATTACCTTCAAAATCATGATCCTTCAGGGGAAACAGACACCTTGCCCAGAAAAGCCGGTGATGTCCTGGTCCTTATTGAAGATATGTAAATTCAGGTCCCTGCAACTACCAGCTTGACTGCAAATTCATTCAGTGCATCTTTTTTTTTCATGGAATAAAATGTAAAATTATTTTCCTATCTGCTTTTAGAGCAGCTGGCTTCTCTATCTACATCTCCTTTCCTTAGTCCACCTTTGATCTCTGCTTTTCCCTACCACAGTTGGTGTCTCTTTGACGTTCCTCAATGGCATTGTTCCGTGTCACTGTGTGCTCTGCAGACCTTCAAAGAATGGTAGACGAGCCACCAAACATAGTGGTATATGACTTTAATCCCATGAAGCACTTGGGAAACTGAGGCAAGAGGAGATGTTATTATAAAGCATAGAAGGCAGTACTTTCTCGTTCTGCTTTAGGTCTTGCCTATCAGCAGGCAGTCTTGAAGACAACCACAGCTTGGATGATTGTTTTCAGTTTTGTGAACTGGTTTCTCACCTCCATATTCCTAAGCACACAAGTGCTTCTTCCTTCCATTTGCAGAAGCCATGTTGAAACCCTAAATAACTAGTCGTGTACAGGTGCTGAAATGTACTGGCTTGTTCTGTGGCTTTCTCCTCAGCTCGTGGTCAAGGTGCACATGCATGATAATAGCACAAAGTCACTGATGGTAGATGAGCGACAGTTGGCCCGAGATGTTCTGGACAATCTTTTTGAAAAAACTCATTGTGACTACAATATAGATTGGTGTCTTTATGAAATATACCCAGAATTACAAATTGGTAAGTCCCCTGGAAACACACTGGACTCTAAAAGTTTTGTGGGTGGGTGTGTGCTTTATTCTGGGCTTTGGTTCAAGGCTCTCAGAATACCCCATGTATCATTTCTCTAAAAAACGTTAATGCTGCTGGGCGCTGGTGGCTCACGCCTGTAATCATAGCTACTCAGGAAGCTGAGATCTGAGGATCACAGTTCAAAGCCAGCCCGGGCAGGAAAGTCCATGAGACTCTTATCTCCAATAAACTACCAGAAAACCTGAAGTGGCGCTTTGGCTCAAGTGGTAGAGTGCTCGCCTTGAGCTGAAGAGCTGAGGGACAGTGCCCAGGCCCAGAGTTCAGGCCCCACAATTGACCAAAAAAAAGAAGAAGAAGGAAGAGGAGGAGGAGGAAGAGGAGGGGGGGGGGGAGGAGGAGGAAGAAAGGGGGGAGGAGGAGGAAGAAGGGGGAGGAGGAGGAAGAAGGGGGAGGAGGAGGAAGAAGAAGAAGAAGGAGGAGGAGGAGGAGAAGAAGAAGAAGAAGAATGCTTTACCTTCTTAGTATTACTTTGTAAGGACACTCAGGTTGGAGCAGGTGTCTGGACCTTGGGGAATAGAAGCATTACTATCACCATCTCTCTAATGGTCTATAAGGGAAAGACAGTGGCAGGAGGATTCTTCTTACTCCTTGCTTAGTAAGCTGAACAGATTGTGGGAACCTGGGCATCTGTCTGCTGTTAAGAGGTAGTGTCACAGATTGTTTCCTCAAAGCCCAGTGTGACTCTGTCACAGGCCTCTCGTCTGCGCTCATTTCCCCTTCCTCCTCCCTCTAACTGGCCTAACCTGCCTCATGGAAGAGTCTCAGCCCCAGAGACCAAGGCAGAGTGGCAGAAACTGATGGCATTTTAAAGGCATTTGAGAAGTGTTCTCTTCCTCCTCATTCATCATAGAACTCCAAGACCCATTGTCTTCCAGGCAAATGCCTTCTTTTAGGTTTTTATTGGTTCAGAGTTTAGGGAATGATGCTTTCTGGACCTCACAATTTCAAACTGTTTGATCAGTTATTGCTTTATCATCCTCCCACACAAAGAGAAAGCACACGTCAACTTGGGGATATTTAAAGTAAAACATACTAACATTAAAAGGCTGATGCCAGTGGCTCCTGCCTATATAATCCTAGTCACTCAGAAGGCTGAAATCTAAGGATTGAATTTCAAAGCCAGCCTGGGCAGACAATCCTGAGAGGCTCTTATCCCCAACTAACCAGGAGAAAAGCTGGAAATAAAGCCATGGCTTCAAGTAGCAGAACACCAGCAAAAAAGCTAAAGGAGGGTACCCAGGCCCTGAGTTCAAGCCCTGAGATGGTCCAAAACCTGACACTGATCATAATAGAAGTGTAACAGAATGATATCATGTAAAATTAAGAAGTTTAGAAACCTTGAAGAAAATTGTGAGGCAGTGTTTGATTCAATAACAGCTTGTTTTTCAGTTTGAAACTCTGATGTGTTGGGTCTGAAAGAATCTTTTTTATTTCATCAGAGAGGTTTTTGGAAGACCATGAAAATGTTGTGGAAGTCTTATCCGATTGGACAAGAGACACAGAAAATAAAGTGCTATTTCTGGAGAAGGAGGAAAAATACGATGTATTTAAAAATCCCCAGGTAAGAGGACCCCCATATTGTCCAAGTACGTAAGGAGTGATGGCTTTTCAATGTCATCTGCATAATGAATGAACTATTACGTCACAAAATATCATAAATGTAGTTCTTTCAAGTAAACACAAATTCAACTTTTAGGCTACATGTAAACTATGAAGGCTTTGGAAGATTTAGAAAGAAAAAAATCCAAGGTCAGGACTATATATCTCTGTCGTTGTCTAGCTTTCTCTTTTGTCTGAATTTCTGTTGGGCTCCATTAAGCCAGTGTAAAATTGATACACTGTTGATGGTTAAAATTTTCTGCTGTGAACAACAATTTCTTTATTAGTCATATTTGGAGGTTTTTGATGCTTGGATCACTCGAGGGTGCGCCTGGAAATGCACGCATTTATTGCCTCCTACAAATAATCAACACAAATACAAACACTATTGTGCATATTTTAAAATGCTAACAGGGTGTCACTGAGAACTCTAAACCTTTTCCATTGTGGCCTCAAGCAGCCATATTTTCTTTTTTTGGGGGGGGGAGGGGGTCCAGTAGTGGGCCTGAACTCTGGGCCTGGGCACTGTCCCTCATCTCTTCAGCTCAAGGCTAGTGCTCTACCACTTGAGCCACAGCGCCACTTCTGGCTTTTCTTTTTCTGCATATGTGGTACTGAGGAATCGAACCCAGAGCCTCATGCATGCAAGGCAAGCGCTCTACCACTGAGCCATCTCCCCAGCCCAAGCAGCCATATTTTCATGGGAGTCATTACAATTATTTTTTCAAGGAAAGGCTAAGAATGATAGAAATGGAAGAGATTCCCAAATCATCCAGATAACTTTCTATGTTATTACTGAAAACACCAGCCTTACTGGGCTTGATGTCTCACACCTGAAATCCTAGCTTCTCAAGAGGTTGAGATCTGAGGATTAAGGTCCCAAGACAGCCTGGGCAGTAAAGTCCATGAGATCCTTATCTCCAATTAACCAGCAAAAGGTTGGAAGTAGACTCAACTGTTAGAGCTGGTGTGGCTCAACTGGTAGAGCTGGCTTCAGCCTTGAGTGAAAGAAAGCTAAGGGACAGCACCTAGGCCCTGAGTTCAAACCCTAGTACCAACACACACACACACACACACACACACACAATATCAATCAATCAGTCAATCAATCCTGCATCACCAGGACTAGGATATTCCAGGAAGCTTCTTTCTAGAAAAATGTTCCTCTCCCAACTCCGTGCTATTTTCTTAGGCTTTCCCTGGGCTGTGTAGGGGCTAACAACAAAGAAATTAAATACTATTGTTTATAGTAACTATCAAATACTGAATGCACCAAGTATTCAACCTTCAATGTCTGTAATTAGTGAGGATACCATCCACACTGCTGTAACAGAGCGATTCCCCTAATCAGTGGCTCAAACAAGCTAGAAGTGTATGTCCCTCTCACACACTGGTCCACCCATGGATGAGCAGACCTAGTAGAACAATTCCTCTGTTCTCAACATGCAACATCCTCCTGTGAAGTGCTGTCCATGGCAGCTTTCTCACTTGGCCATTTGCTCATCCAAAGGAAGAAAGGGATGATTCCAAGGACACACAATCCATCAGAAGATTTGCTTACATCCCATTGGCCAGACCCTACTAACACGGTGACATTGTTGTAGGAAAGAAGCTGGGGGACATGGTGGCTATTTGAGCGACTGCATTCACAGCTAAAATAGGGAAATTATATTCATGGTCTCCATTTTGTATAACTCCCCCACAGAACACCTTTCATCTTGAGACCACTAAAAATGGTACCCAGGAATTGTGCAAAAATCCTATAATTCTATAATGAAGAGGAGAATGAATATGAACAGGGCTCTGCAGTTTGCCATGGTACCTAACCAATCAATACATACAAACTGTGATTGCTGTATTGTAGCAACCACCCACCTCAAGACCCAGAAGACTTACCTTCCTAGTACTTACTCCCCATTAGAAAGGCAACTGCTATTCTGATCTTGAATGCCTTACTTTCTCCTCTTTTTTGAACTTTATATGAAACAGAATCCATATTATAGCCCCCTTTTGTGTGTATTTTTCCCCGACTCGACAGCTACTGTTTATTTTTTCCTTTCCATTTAGTATTCCACTACCCGATTATACCAAAATGAACTTATTCATTGTAGTAATGGACATTTGACTTGTTTCTAGTTCAGAGCTTCAACAATGAATGCTAGTGGGAATATCTTGAATATGTCTTGTTGAATATATATTGACATTTCTCCTACATAGTTACCTATGAGTGAGCTTGCTGGATCAGTTATGCTTATGTTTAGCAAGCATTGCTGAATAATCATCTGCTGTTTCTTTAGCACTGTAGGAAAATTGTTATTGTCCTAGGCCATACCCTTGGCAGTCCGTGGTGTTGCATCTTATTTTTTTTATTTAAGCTATGAACATTGAGTAGCATTTCCTGTGCCTTTTAGTTGTTTATTTTTCAGTGTCAATGCTTCAGTTTTTCAAGTGTTATTGTGCCTTTGAATATCTACTTTTGTGAAGCATCACTTCAAATCCTTTTCCAACTTTTCAGTTCTATTTAAATATCAAAAAATATTGATATTTCTCAGAAGACCTGGATCTTCTCTTTTTTTGTCCAAGACCTGGACTTGAACTCTTGATCTGACACTTTCACTCACTCTATCACATGAGCCATGCCTCTAAACCCATGGGCACCAGAACTCAAACTCGGTACCAGATGCTTTCACTCATTGGCTATGCTCTACCAACTAAGCCATGCCTCCAACCCTATCTCTCTTGGGTCTTGATACTTTGAGTTTTGACCCTCTTTGCAGTAGCCCAAAGATTTCACAGAAATCTATCTTTTGGAAAGCTGTCTTTATCTGTTTTTTTGTGTAGCCTTGTTTTACTGCAAGCTACTTTATCATAGGGGGATGCAGACATCCTCCTAGTGAAGTTTTTGGACAGTAATATATTCTTTAAAACTGAATAACTCATCTGTCATCCTATTTAAAGACAAAAACTAAAGAGGACACATATTTGAAGTAGTCGATTGTTTTCCTCAGTGTGTGGTTGAGTGATTTCATTCCTGATCAGTGCTCTGTATAGACAATAGTGAGAAAAATCTGCCTTTTCTCATCCACATGTCATGGCCCCTACAAAAGAGACTTTTTGGTGATTTTTGAAATAACTGAAATTATGGGCCTAGCAGGCACTGGTGGTTCACACCTGTAATCCTGGCTTCTAAGGAAGCTAAGATCTGAAGATTGAGGTTCAAAGCCAGCCCAGGCAGGAAAGTCTACGAGATTCTTATTTTCAAATAACCACCAAAATGCCAGAAGTTGAGGGGCGGCTCAAGTGGTAAAGCAGTAATCTTAAGCAAAAAAAACTCAAGAAGCGCTCAGGCCCTGAATTCAAGTCCCAAAACTAGGATGAAAAAAAAAAATTCCAACATGGATTTTGGTGAATTTGTAACAGGAGTCTTTTCTTTCTAATTCTAAAACCTAATCCCAATCCAAAAAGAATGAAATGAACTAGAGATGTACTTTTCCAGAAAAATTCCTTTCATCAAGTTGTTGTAGATGTCCTTCAGCAATGTCTCGATAGATAATTCAGATATCGGGGCTGGGAAGGTGGCTCAGCGGTAGAGCGCTTGCCTTGCATGCCTGAGGCCCTGGGTTCGACTCCTCAGCACCACATAAGCAAAAAGAAAAAAGCCGGAAGTGGCACTGTGGCTCAAGTGGTAGAGCGCTAGCCTTGAGCTGAAGAGCTGAGGGACAGCGCCCAGGCCCAGAGTTCAGGCCCCATGACCGGACCAAAAAAAAAAAAAGATAATTCAGATATCTAACACTCTTGCATTTCACTGAGGTTGGAAATTCTTTCTGAAGTCTAACTCCCCACCGTGGCCTGCATTTGTGAGTGTCTACCCACAACTCGGGGTTTTCCAAGTCTGTGAGCATATACGTTTGACCTTCCTGTCCAACTGCTCCAAACCACAGTACTGACTCTAAAATATTTTAAGAGCCAGTTAAAAATGAACTGTGCACACAGGGCTGGACTTAACCAGAACTGTACAAAAGAAAAGACAGATCCTGAGTGATTTATTCGATAGTCTCTACAAAAAGTTATCAACGTATTAAATGTCTCTGCAGCATTGACTTACCTGAGGATCCTTTCATGGAATTTAATCCCATAGATATTTGGCTTTCACAGGTGTCTTCAGAGCATCTGTTCCATGCATAGCTTTGTCTATTCATGGACAATGAACAGATTAAGCTGTCTTTGTCCTCAAGTAATTTACAATCTAGCTGGAGGGAAAAAAAAAGTCATGTGCAAAAATAGTTGAAGCATAACTTCCGGGTTTTATATGGGAACTCTGTTAGGACCGGGGTTAAAGAACGGAATGCATTTTTAGGTTTGGGGTTTGTTTCTTGTTGTTTTGTTTTTATTTTGTTTTCATTTTCCCTGAGACACAGGTCTCACTATGTAGCCCAGGCTAGCCTTAAACTAAAGAACCTCCTGCTTTAGCCTCTTCGGTGCTAAGATTACAGGCATGTTTCACTACACCCAGCATCAGCATGGTATATTCTTGTGTGTGTGTGTGTGTGTGTGTGTGTGTGTTTGTGTGTGTGCCTGTGCTTGTCCCCAACATTATTTGCTCAAGACCAATGCTCTGCCACTGGAGCCACAGCTGCACTTCTGGCTTTTTGCTGATTAATAAGAGATAAGAATCTCATGCACTTTTTTCCCAGGCTCTCTTTGAACCACAATCCTCAGATCTTAGCCTCCTGAGTAGCTAGGGTTGCAGGCATAAGCCACCAGGTCCAGATGCATGGTATACTCTTACGACGAAGTACCAAGGACTGGAGACTGAGTTCAACTGGTAGAGTACTTGTTTGGCAAGCAAGAGACCAAACCCCAGTTGTTCTCCCCCTCCCCCTAAAAAAGACAGCAAAGCACAAAGTGCTATAGACAAAGCGGAAGAGTTTCAGTAGCAGTCTATGCTGATAGTTATAGTTT